TCAAAATTTGCATCCAGCTTGCAAATCACTTGGGAATTCACTTGGAGTAGGAAAGGAGCACCATTTCCATGGTTTCTTGGAGTTTCTTAGTGGCTGAAATTCTGGTCTTCAACATCTAAGAAGGTAGCAAATGATCTAACGCTTGAATCTTTGCTTTTGTAAGTTAGATTACACTTAGAAACTTGTAACTTCATGTGGGTAGTTTTGGATTGTTGAAAATCATGTGAGTGGGCTCTATGAAATCCCACAATAGACTTGATGATCTGATTTGATGGGTTTGGATGTTATTTGTGTTGATTAAGTGTTAATCTAGTGGATTTAAGTTGAAAGAGTGAAAAGAAAATCAAAGGAAGTGATGCATGTTGAAGGGCTGAATCTGCCCTATTTTTACCAAACCCTTGGTGCAATTTTTTTGTGGTTAAATTGCCTTTATTTTTGATGTAGATATGTTGTACAGGTTGTGTGGAAAGTTTCCACCAAAAATCCCTTGATTTGGTTGGCTAAAAGTTGAATTTCGAAATGATTTCAAAGCTGGAAAATGTGTACAGAAGTGCTCTGGCAGCGAATTTTAAATGACCATAACGCTTTGCTCCGATGTCGAAATCGAGTGCCATTTGTAGAATTAGAAACTAGACACTTCCAGTTTTCTAATGGTATAAAATATATCACTGATTCGACCTGAGTGAACCGTACCAACTCTTCAAAATTACCTGTCTTGTTTCACAATTGTGCTAGAGAGACGTGAGGTGCTGGAATTTGTTGCTTGAATTTGAGCTAGCTATGGACACAATTTCTCAGAAGAAATTGTAGCCTTATGAATGTAGTTTTCAATGCCACAAACAATTCCCAATTCCAAGTTGAATTGAGTGAGTTGTGGCCGAATTATGAAACTGTCTCAGTAATGGAAAACCCTCTTTTGGCTAGTTGAATGCCTTAATTTGAATTGGGACTTGTTATTTTGAAACTTTTGATGTCATCACCTACCAAATGTGTATTGGATATTTCTTAGACCTTTCCTTTATAAATGGACAAGATTTGAAATGATTTCATTGGCCAAAAGTTAGAAAAACGAAAAATGGAAGTACAAGGCAGATTTGCCTTGGAAATTCTTAGAAATTTAGTGGCTTTGTTAACTGACTTTCTGTACAAATTTTTCAATGAAATTTAACAGACGAATAGCCCTTATGTGGCAGGGTAATACTACCAAATTTGGTGCCATTTCAAGTCCATTTCGATGCCCAACTGAAGTCCCAAAGATTGTGTTTCAATTCTGGAAAATTGCCCAATGGTCGTCATTTTGAACCAACTTTGAGCTGCTATATCTTGGCGTTCAAAACTCCGATTCTTTTTCCATTTGTTGTGTTTTAAATTTTGATTATAACTCTAATTGATTTTCAAATTTTAGAGGCTAGTTCACATTCTGTGAATTTTCCCGAATTTCCAAAGTTTGCCAAAAATCAACCCCGAATCTGTCTGGGGAGTCCAAATCAGCAACTTTGAGCCAAATTTTGAGTGTCTTCCTTTTATAATCATGGAAAAGTGTCTTCTAGGAACTTTTAGCACTTCGGAATTAGTTTCAACGGTACCAAGTTTTCCATTTTTGGACCTATTGAGTGTAAGATATGATTTTTCTAAATTTGACACACAAAGCTGAATTTTGCCAATTTCTTAGAAAATGCAATTTCGGGACCTTGACTTCTTTTCTCGATATAAATAGAACGTTTTGAACTCGATTTCATGGAAGATGCTAGTCTCTCTTTGGACATTAAAACTTCACTCTTAAACCTCGAGATGAGAGAATTGGAGCTCTCTTTTAAGACTTTGCTTTAGTCTAATTGAGTGTGCATCCTTTCTTGGTAAATGCATGATTGTAAACAAAGTTAATTATTATTTACTTATGCACTCAAGAGGACCTTCAAGAGGAACTCGAAGCCGACGCCTAAACACTTGTTTGAGCACTTACTCACTTGTTTTGAATAGGTGAGTGTTCCATATAGCAGTATGTGATTTGAATAGTTTTATGACATGTTTACTCCATGGTCATTATGTGTTTAACAGGTAAGTGCTACCGTGATAGCATCATGGTAGGTGGGCAGGCCAACAATGGCTCGAGTAATCGAGGAGCTGAGGATCACGTGCATGTCCCAAGTGGACCCATTACTAGGGCTCGCGCAAAAAAACTTCGTGAGCAACTCAATGTACTTATTCAGGCCATACACATGTCATTTGAAGGATTCATACACTCAAGTGAAGGTGGTCGCGGTCCGATAATGAGCATTGAAGCTACACCTGAGGATTAGGGTTTTTTTGCCAAACCCTAATTTCCATTTTAGCATCATAGTTGGTTATTTCCACAATAGTTGATTAGATTGAATAATTGGCTAAGTGCATATTGCACGTAGAATCGCCAAAGGTAGGATTGCTAATTTACTCATTATTATTTGCTAGAGTGGGCTGTCTAGGAAGGAAAGCCCACGTGAGGCCCAACCCGTCGGGGGGTTAAGCCTCCCTTATTAGGGCCCATATCCACTGCACCCTTAGTCTATTTTCATACTAGATTAGGGTTTTCACTTGTAGCCTATATAAGGCACCATATTATATCAATAAAGGGTAGACACTTTTATCATAAAATATTTGAGAGAATTTTCTCCATAGCTTTCAAGCAACCTTGAACAACTTAGAGTTTTACTCTCGTGTTCTTGTTTGGCTTATCAATTCAAGAACCACACTTGAATTGTGGCGCCTTCTACACTTGCCTGAGGTTCGCTAATTCGTTTGATTACGGGTTGAGATAATATCAACAAGTTCGTAGTCACGGGGATTAGAGGGGTCGTAGGATTTCCGTTGCTACCGTTTCTTGCGTTCGAAGTCAAATCCAACAAGTGATCTTGGGTCACGAATCTTCTAACCAACGAGATTTGTATCAGCTGGCATCAGAGCTAGCTTGTTGGTAACATCATTTATCCCTCTTTTGTGTCTTAATTCGTACCTTCCGTATCTGTCTCGTTAGTTAAATTCTGTTCGCACCTCCAATCTGTCCGCAAGTTTCCTTGTTATCAAATTCTGGTCGCCGTGTTTGGAGTCTGTTCTTAGTATCGCGTCCTTATTGCTGTTTCTATTGAGTATTGTGTGTTACAATCTGGTCATGTATTGCTAATTGTTTCCACCATCTATGTCCAGCAAATTGAGGTGTCGGTCAGTGTTGATAATTGTGCCAAAGACGCACAACAAAGCATTGAGTCATTCAGATTTCGGTCTTGCCGCACTTAACATTATCCCTTGCATGGCCCAATCTAACCGAATTGTCTCTTAATTGTTGTGCCTGTCCCTTGTTCAACATCTTGTTATTGTCGGCAGTAAGTCCCAACCTGAGTCAAAAAAAAAAGGAAGATCAGTAGCTAATCCTTTTTCCTTGTCTCCCCGTTGCTGTCCGCAATTTCCAGTTGGTGTACATCGTGTCTTGCGTTAGTTTTCAGGTTGTATCACCACGTTTTGTTCCTAGTTGTTGTCTATTGTTGCTCAGACTCACTGTCCATTTGCTGTGATTGGGCCCTACTCAGAAAACAAGTATATATATATATATATACACACATATAGAACCAGCCGCTAGTCTTATTCTTTGTAAAAAAAAAAATTCTGCTCATCAGTGTTTTGGTGTCTTTCTTGTGCCGTTTTAATTTCTGGAAATTCTGGGAATTATTTGTGTTATTCTTAGGCTATTTGTTTGATATTTACATCATTTGGGTTTAAAGAAAAAAAAACAAAAAGAGAAGAAGAAGAAATCTGTTAATTCCTTCTTGCTGAGTTTTGGTAGTTTCCAAATCTGTTCGTTCTTTCTTGTTGAGTTTTTTTTTGTTTCCAAATCTGTTCATGTCATTTTTCTTCAGTTGCTTATCATCTAGGAAAGTATTGGTACCTTGTTCTTGAAATTCTTGCGTCAAATTTGCTGGTTTCACGAAGATCTTGAAGGGATTCTGGATATTCTTGAAATCTGGAAATTAGCCTTGATATTCTTGAAGTTATTTGCTGGAAATTGTGGTTTGATCTTGAATTCTTGAAATTTTCTTGTGCGTGACATTGAAACATACCTGAACTTTGAGCTCTAATTGCTTGGAACCAAGAATCACAACCTGCCCAAACATTAAAATCACCAAAACAGGCCGCACCAAAGCTGCAACCAAACCTGGAAATTTGTGTGTTTGAGCCGAACCCATAGTTCATCTTTTGGCTGTATAAACAAAAAAAAAATTTGTTGCAGCAGCCAATTTGATCTTGAAAGGAACAAAATAAACTGCCCATCTTGTTCCGCAACCAAGTAAGGGGAATCGGGTAACACCAAGCAAGAAAAAGAAAAGGCAGCTTCCTAGTCTCCAAAACCCGAAAGATTTCTAAAAGCCAAAGACTTCCAAAATTGATAGGCTAACTTTTAGCCGCATCTTGTTCCCTATTTTATAGCTGCAAAGTGCCTAAATTCCTGCCTATCTTGTAGCTGCATCACCTGCTATATTTTAGGAAACGACCCAAAAAAAAAAATTTTCCAGCAAAGCAAAAGGACCACTTTCCTTGTCGGTTAGAGTTTTTTTTTTTAGTGTCGTTCTTAATTTTTTTTTCAGCTTTTGTGTCAATTCCTTTTTCGGTTTTTATTCATGAATACATTCTACCACCCCATCCTTAGTGTCCTAATTTTGTTTTCCAAGAAAATCTCCACTCTTACGAACCTCAAATTCTAACGTGAACTTGATTTTTGAGCTACACTTCAGCACTTGAGGAATTCTACTTTCTTCAGGGTTTGCAAGGGACAGTGAGAAAATTTTGGTGAGCTCATTAGAGTGATCTAAGTGACCATACACGAATGTGAGAGTATACACTTAGGGAGTGAAGTGAGGAAAAAAAAAGGGGAGATAAACGTTTCTTTCTCTTTTTTCCCTTTCTTTGCTACTAACCCTTGCAGGCACACTTGAGACTTCATGTCTAGTAGCAACGAAGGAGTATCCCGTCCCATGGACTTTGAACAGATGATGGAGCAAATGGAGAGGCGTTTCCAACGCATGCTAGAACCCATTCAAGATGAGTTGCTGCAACTTCGAGCGTCTGGAACACCAAAAACTTCTAAGTCCACACGAAGGCGAAGAGACGTGGAGTCGTCCGATGGTTCCAATAATGATGAAGATGATGAGGAACCTCGAGTTCGACCAAGGCAAAGGAACCAGACTGAACCTACCGATGTATTCAAGGAAATCAAGATGCAAATCCCTGAGTTCAAAGGACGGTCCGATCCCGAGGCCTTTCGCGAATGGTTATCCAAGATCCAAATGGTCTTTTCTTGCCAAAACTACACCGAGGTGCAAAAGGTGCAATTGGCCACTATGGAATTTATTGAGTACGCTGTGGTTTGGTAGGACCAACTCAAGAAGTCTAGAAGGAGAAATGGCCTACCTGAGCTCGTTCCATGGCTCGAGCTTCGAGCCATGATGCGCACCCCCTTTGTACTTGGACATTACACTAGAGATTTGTACCACCGATTACAAACCTTGGTCCAGGGCAACCGGAGTGTGGATGAGTACCACAAGGAGATGGAGATCCTAATGCTTAGAGCAGATGTACAGGAGGATCCTGAAGCCACCATGGCGAGATTCTTGAGCGGGTTACGACCTGATATTGCTGAACGAGTGGAACTTCAACATTATATGGAGTTGCATGAGCTTGTAGACAAGGCTATTAAGGTCGAGCAAAGGCTCAAGAGGAGGGGTACCACTCGATCGAATTTCGGCAATACCACCTACTCTACCAACCGCCCATTCCAACCAAGGAATGATTCTTGGCCTTCACCAAATGCTCATACTCCAAAGCCGAGATTCGAGGGAGGTAAGGTGGGCAACCCTAGTTTTAGTAAGCCGCCCTCTTCTACTCCAAAATTCGAGGAGCCTAGGGCACAAACTAGGGCTCGTGATACTCGATGCTTCAAATGTCAAGGTAGAGGCCATATTGCTAGTCAATGTCCCAATCAAAGGACTATGATTATGATGCAAAATGGCGAGATCGTGAGTGAGGACGAAGCCGAGTACGAAGGCATGCCACCCCTTGAAGGAGGTAGTGATGGTGAGTCACCAAATGAAGAGGAGTTTAGTGCACTCGAGGGTCACTTTGGGACCGCCTTGGTTGCAAGGAGAGCATTGACGGCACGTGTTAAGGAGGACGAGCTTCAACGGGAGAACATCTTCTACACTAGGTGCTTCGTCAACCAAGCACTTTGTAGTGTGATTATTGATAGTGGGAGCTGTACAAATGTGGCTAGTTCACTCATGGTGGACAACTTGAAGCTGCCTACGAGGGATCACCCGTGACCCTACAGACTCCAATGGCTCAACAATTCTGGGGAGGTTCGAGTAACCAAACAGGTTCTTATATCCTTTCAAATTCATAAATATACTGATGAAGTATTATGTGATGTAGTTCCTATGCAGGCTAGTCACATTATACTAGGTAGGCCGTGGCAGTTTGACAGGCAGGTAACTTTTGATGGTGTGACTAACAAGTATAGTTTCTTGTACAATAGTAAGAAAGTCATCCTAGCTCCCCTTTCTCCAAAACAAGTGCATGAGGACCAATTGAAATTGCAACAAGAGTTTGAGAAGTATAGTGCAAAAAAGAAAGAAAATGAGAAAGCCGAGGCAAAAAAAGAGAGGAAAAAGGCTTTAGATAGCTCGGCAAGTGAGGTAAAACCCGAGGGAAAACAAATGCTCCTGATAAAAGCCAAGAAAGTGAGGAAGTTAATGAGGAATGAGCAACCGCTTCTTATGCTTGTTAGCAAAGAAGTAGCTTAGAATGTGCATGACCTTGATACTAACTTACTGCTTGAGGTTAAGTCTCTTTTGCAGGAATATGCTGATATCTTTCCTGATGACGTACCAAGTGGATTACCACTGCTTAGAGGCATTGAGCACCAAATAGACTTCGTCCCTGGAGCTTCGTTGCCAAATCGCCCAGCTTACAAGAGCAACCTGGAGGAAACTAAGAAGTTGCAAAGGCAAGTGGACGACTTGCTTGGCAAAGGATGGGCACGTGAGAGCTTAAACCCGTGCGCTGTCCCAGCCATTTTGGTGCCCAAGAAAGATGGTACGTGGAGAATGTGCACTGATTGTAGAGCCGTAAATGCCATCACGGTAAAGTATCGCCACCCTATACCTCGCTTAGATGACATGCTTGATGAGTTGCATGGGGCTGTGTTCTTTACTAAAATTGATCTCAAAAGTGGGTACCATCAAATTAGGATAAAGGAGGGGGACGAATGGAAAACTACCTTCAAAACTAAGTATGGATTGTATGAGTGGTTAGTGATGCCTTTTGGGCTAACTAATGCACCTAGCACCTTCATGAGGTTAATGAACCATGTTCTGCGTCCATTCTTAGGGAAATTCGTGGTAGTTTATTTTGACGATATCCTAATTTATAGCAAATCTTATGATGAACACCTAGAGCATATTAGGGCTGTTATGGATGTACTTCGACGAGAGAAGCTCTATGCCAATCTCAAGAAGTGCAATTTTTGCACTAATGAGCTTGTGTTTCTCGGGTTTGTTATAAGTGCGCAGGGAATGAAGGTGGATGATCAAAAGGTGAAAGCTATCCAAGAGTGGCCAACACCAAGATCAGTGGGTGATGTTCGGAGCTTCCATGGACTTGCGGGTTTCTATAGGAGATTTGTGAGGGATTTTAGCACCATTGCTGCACCCTTTGTAGACACCAAATTTTGATTATTTTTAATCATTTATTATTTATTTTTTTAATTGGGTTAGATTCATCATTTTTAGTTTGTAAGATGTTAAAAGTAGCTTTAATTCTCTTAAATTTGGTTTGAAAATTGTTAATTTATTTTTAATTGATTTTTGAAGAAAAATGGAAAATGAAAAAAGGGAAAATTGGATTTGCATTTTGTTGTTTCTAATGTTAATTAAATTGTTTTTGTTTTTAATTTTTATTATTTTTAATTTTGTTATTTAAGTTAAAAAAAAGGAATGATACGTGACTTGCAAGTTGCGTTTTTCGCAGCTTGCAAGGAAGGGCTTCGGGCAGCCCTTAGCTGCAAATATAGGAGAGATGGCTGGGGTTTTAGGGTTGGAGATTCTGGTATAAAAAGGAAAGAAAAGGCAGCCGCAAGACGGGGGAGTTTTGACGGCTGGAAAATAGAGAGGGCTGGACGGCTGGTTTGAGGAGAGAAAACCGAGAGGGTTGAAGAAAGAAACCAGAAGAGGGGGAGGGGGCTTGAGAGGTGATGGCTGAGAATAGAACAAAGAGATAGGAGAGCTGCCGGAAAAGAAAAAGAGAAAAAAACAACGGGGAGAGTAAGCAAGGAGGAACGGTGAGGCAGTAAGAAGGAGAAAAATCGAGGGTGTAGGAAAGGAAAATCTGGGAAAGAAAATGCAGAGCGGCCGCCGCATCAGAGGACATCCACACAAAACCTAAACTTCCATCGGCTTCAAGTGAAAAAAGAAGACCAAGACCACAGCGTTGGTGAGGGATGATAGCGTGACTGGGGGATCCGACTGGCCTAGCTTCTTCGCCAAGCTCTGCGAGAAGAGGAACATCGAAGGTCTTATCGTCGATATTGGCTGTGGTGGTGGCGCTGTCGTTGCTGCTGCTGAAGGAACAAGTTAAAAGGCAGCGGAACAGGTAACCTTCCACCCCTTTTCTTGTTCATTTCCATCTCTAAATGGAGCCCAACCTGCTAAGCGGGAATTTCGTTTTGGGTTCAAATTGCTGGGTCTCTGCTAAGTCAATATGCATCCATCTGGCGTCTGATTTGGCTAAAGCTAGAGTTTTGATTTGGTTGAGGTTCTCGTTTGGTTTGTTTTCTTTTTGTTTGGGTCGGTTTGCATTTTGATTGACAAGATTGCTAGTTTTGGTTTTAAGAATGAAAAATCTGTTCGATGTTGGATGTTTGTGAGAATGAGAATGAATGTCTACATGGATTTGTGTTTCAAACGAAGCTTTGGTTCCTTTCGGCTTCATGATGTGGCGACTGCCATTCACACAGAACTTTTGTTTTGCTCACTTACTGTTTTTGTGCCTAGTGTCGTTTTGATTTTATTATCATGTTCCTCTTGCTGTGCGCAAATCACCTTGGGTAGTAAGCTTTGACCTGCAATGCTGAAACGTTAGCTGCTCCAAGCAAGTCCCTTTTACTGCATTTTCGTTCTTTCTTCTGTTGTCGGGCAGACCAGATTTTTGTTGTCATGACTGTTGTGTTCGGTTGGAAAATGGGTGTGTACAGGAATGAGTGAGTTCGAAGAGCCTGAGATTTCAATGTTTTGTTATGTTGGATAAGGAGTTTATTTGTTGGGATGCTTAAGTTTAGAGTTTGGATAGATGAGTTGGTTGGTAAATGAAAATGCAGCAGGCTTGGAGTTGGTTTGTAAACAGAAATGCAGCAGGTTTCTCTTTTGAAGGAGCTCCTTGTTACATAAAGCTTGCATGAAATTCTTTTAAGAACTACTTTGATTAAGTGTTGTTTAAACATGTTTTAATTAGAGTTAGTTTAAAGTTTTGTTAGCCAAAGATTCATGGATAAAGCTTGCGGATAAACTAGCTTAGCTGCCGAAATCCTCTTGTTGTTGCAGAAGCTGAAGTGTTTTCGTATGCATGCATGAAAGCAAATTCAAAAATTGCCTCTTAACCCCCTCAAGTCTCCCCTTGTTCCATTATGACCCAACCAATTGAATAATCTCCTCAATTTGGTCCTTGGTAGTTTTAATTTTACAACTTCATTACTTGTTTTGTGAGAACCCGTAAAACCCTAATATTTTTCCTAGGGTTTATTACCCCTTAATTGCATAATTTTTGTATTTTCTGGCTTAGAAATATTTTTCTGGTAGATTTTATGAGCAGTTCTAGTTTCTAGATGATTTTTCTAGCATTGGTGAATTTTTAGAAAATTAAGGGTATATAATGGACGTGGGACCCACTAGTGTGAAAAGTTCGAAAAAATTCGACCAATAAGGTTAAGTTTTGGATACTGTGTAAAATTTATCGGGTGTTAAGAGATAAGTAGGGTGTGTGAAATGATTGATGTGAGAGAGAAAAGAAAGGTTAGGAATGCATTTATGAGAGTGACAAGTGTCACTCTACCATTGGGTTTGACTTAAGAAACACTATTCATACTTTTGACTATTTTTGACTAAGTGTTAAATACTTCAAAAAAATCATAAAATTCACCATCTCTTACCTCTTGTTGGCCGGCCATCCCAAGCTCAAGAAGGAAGAAACTCCATCAACTTTCAAGCTTCCACTTGGTTCAATCTTCCACAAACAAGAGCCTAAACTAGATTCCACTCCATAAAATCCTTTCTTCTAGTGCTAGTAAGTGTCTTAGTGAAGTTTGTTTGAAGGTCTAAGGTGGCCAACATATCTACATCTCTTGTTCTTAGGTAAGTGATGTTTGACTACTCCCCTACACTTAATGATGGTTATTTTGTGCCTAATGGTGGCTTGAGTGATGGAATGTGTGATTTATTTCTTGATTTGAAGTGTTTTGGTGAATTTTTCAATTTTATGATGAATTTTCTGGTTTAATATGAATGGGATGTTGTGGCTATCTTTGATGATTGGAAATGGACTATAATGACTTTTGTAGGTGTGAATTGTTGATAATTGCAACCAATTTTGGATTTGGAGTGAATTGAGAAAAGTTAGGGTTCATAATCCCCTAATTCTGTCCGATTTTAGATCATAGGGTTAGAGGCCGAATTGGACTTTGCTCAAAACATGAACGTTGTAGGTATTGATGTGTTTGAGGTGCCTGTAAAATTTCAGGTCATTTGGATTAGCGTAGAGTGAGTTATGTCGGAATTACTGTAGCTGTTCTGCTTTGGTCAGAATGCGAAAACTGCGTTGGTATTTGGCTATTTTGGCTGGAATCAGTTTGGATTTGGATGTTGGTGTCTTCTGATGAAATGTAGCTGGATGTCTTAGCTATCATATGCCTTTCGAATTTCGGCATTTGGACTTGTATAGACTGAGTTATACCAATTACAGTTTTGTGTGTTTTGCAAATCTGTTTTGGTAATTCTGGTTTGGTATTTTGCATATTTGACCTAGTTGTGTTAGGAACTGGTTTGAGATGTCTTCTACATTGTTGTAGCCCTGTTTCTTGGATTCTAAACGGTGGGTCTTACACCCCCATCCGATAGTCGTAGGGAAATTGACGCCATTACCGCAAAATAAGGGCAAAACAGTTTTTCTATTCGGGGCCAAGACTAATGCTATTTCTAATTTCTGGTTTGCTATCATGCTTATTTATGCATATGGAACCCTATTGGGATTGTGTTTAGCATTGTTTTGTGACTCGTTCTCGAGTCTCATTGTATGTGTTACATGTTTTAGGGCGTGACGGTAGCTCACGACGTCTTGGTGATCGTGGTGCATGAAACACCACTTACTTGGTTGGTGAGTATACTACTCACTTACTTGTTATAATATGGTTTTGCTCTATGTGTATTTGATGCCTTGAAGGCTTAATTGGTTATTGGAAGTGATTGAGGTGAGGGTGTACTTGACCGCCCTCACCCCTTGTGATTTCATTCATGGCTATTTACCGTATTACTATAATACTGCACTGGTATATGGTACATTGAATTCCATTCATGGAAACTGAATTGGTGTCGTTTGGGCGATTGTCCAACGGCCTTACTGTATTACTGAGCTCAACCCCGTTTGGTAGTCAATTGGATCGAGTCGGCGAGGGCTTGGTCGTGAAAATTGTCATGCCACGGGGACTGTACTGAGGAACCTTGTAGTAATGAGACTCTCAGTTCCGGTAAACTCGAGTATTACCAAAATGACTGAATGGAGTGCGGGCCCGGTTGGGGTATGATGGGTGGAAGGATGGAAGTTAAGCGAGGTCTACGGTTGTTTGGTACTTTTAAAATTGACGGAGGGTCAATGAGGTTGGATCAAGATTGCAAGCGTGGAAATGGGCTCTTGAGAGTCGACCGTATCCTTTCACTGATATGCCTTACTTCGAAATTGCATACTTGAATTGAATGGTTATGCTTATGTGATCTTAACTGCTATTGTGATAGTTGCTCACTGGGCTTTAGCTCATTCCGTGTCATTTGTTTTCCTTACAGGAAAATGAAACTTTTGGAAAAGATTGTGATAGTTGGATGACAAGTTGAGCTCTTGTACATGTATTTTTGAATAGCTCCTTGAGGGTAAAACCCAAAGTGTTTTGTTTCCACCAATGTATGGTGTGTAAATGGCTTTTGGTACATGTATGAACTAGACGAATATCTTGGTTTGCCGTTTGGCTTGTAAATGTTGATTTCCAATGTATATATATGCTTGGCCGTGGTTTGGATAAATTTCGGCTTCGATTTTCATTTTTTTTTTTATTTTTTTTATTTTGTGATTTTGACTTGTTTGCGCGCAATGGTAAGTTCCGGAACGTAATAGATCGACGTAAACTGAACCGTTAGTCCTGGCGAGAGCTGGGCAGGCAGTCCGTTAACCTCTTTGGTTCACCTTAGGGGAAGGTGGGGCTGTCACAGGTGGTATCAGAGCCTAGGTTTGAATTAGCCTGGGTGTTAAAGGAATGCTGGACTTGAGGATTCTATTGTTTATGCCTATTAAGTGTATTCATGTTATTTCTCCTTTGCTATAGGATGGATGCGAGTGGTGACCCTAGTGCTAGTCCTTCGGGAGTGAGACCTCCCAGAGCACTCCCAGTGATCCCGTATCAGATCAGGCAGAAGGGGGCTGTGGTGCGTTGGAGCCCGGCCAACCGCCTTCGACGGTGTGAGTGCCGTGATACTTATGCTTACCCAAACGCCTTAGTTTTGGCGGTAGCGAAGGAGCGTAAGGAGCTTGCTAAGGATAACACTAAGTTGGAAGCTGTGGTTGCTACGTTGGAAGCTGAGGTGACTCAGGTTAAGGCAACTAATGAGAAGCAAGCCGCACGTATCAAAGAGTTAGAGTATGACGTGCTGGAGGTCGAGGACCGAGTTGACGACCTCTGTGATCAGCTGAGGACTGCACACGAGCGCGAGGCTAAGCGAGCTCGCAAGGTCAGGAGTCGTGCTGAGGCGATCCTTAATCTGTGCGACGACGGACTCGAGGAGTCTAGTGATGAGGCCTCGTATGCTGGGGCCGAGGCTGGGGAGGAGTCTACCCCGTCGCCTGGATCCCAGACCCCGGCAACTGATTAGGCCTTGATCTTTAGGCATCTTTTGGGATAGTGGTGGTTTTGGTATGTACATAGGGATAGGGATAGAGCCTTAGCTAACCGTTTTGGATGTAGAGTTAGCTACGTGTAAATTTCTTTTGATAGGCCTATCCTCGGGAGGATCGTTTATGTACGTACGGGCCTTGGCCATACTTGACTGACTAATTGTATATATGTGTTTGACTTGTATATATGTGTGTTTGTGCTTATGTTTGGACTGTATAAATGTGTTATTGTGCAAAGTTTACGTGTTACTTATATGTCTTGTTATTACTGTGGTTTAGAATTCTTGCCTAGACCAAGTATACCTTATGGAAGGAACACGAAGTGGTCGGGGACGCGGGCGCGGTATTAGACAACCCATACCGGTTAGGGAAACGGGGGAGCTTCTACTGGACCCAATCCTGGACCGCAATTAGATCCGAATGTACAAATAACTGCCGCTATGCAGCAAATGACCAATTTACTAGCACAAGTAGTCCAACAACAGGGCCAGAACCCAAACCCTAACCCAGGAAACCCTGGCCATCATATTGAGAGCGAAGATAGAGCTCTAGAACGTTTTCAAAAGTTTTCCCCGCCAAAGTTTGTTGGGGGACCCGACCCTGATGTTGCTGAGAAATGGCTTGAGAAGATGGTAGACATTTTTGCAGCTCTACACTACCCAGACGAACGGCAGGTGACCTTTGCCGTGTTTCAACTTGAAGGGGCTGCCCGTTCCTGGTGGAACGTAATTAGGCAGAAATGGGAGCGGGAGCAGACGCCTAGGACTTGGGTGAACTTCATCCGAGAATTTAATGCAAAGTTTTTCCCTCCTCTAGTCCAGAAGAGGAAGGAGGACGAGTTTATCCGGCTCCGGCAAGGGGCTCAGACTGTGGCGGAATATGAGAGTCAGTTCACCCGCCTGTCCAAATTCGCGCCTGAGCTAATCATGACTGAACAAAGACGAATTAGGCGCTTTATTCAGGGTTTGAACGTTAGCGAGGCAATGGAAAAAGACGAATTAGGCTGCTCAAATCACTACGGTTAGCGAGGCAATGGAAAAAGCCCAACGAGTAGAAAGTGCACGGCTGCAGGTCCGAAACTTCCAGGCTAAGAAGCGTGGTTTTCCTGGGAGTACATCTGGACAAGGTGAGAAGAGCACTCCCTCTAAGTTTGGACGAGGAACGGATGGTGGTCGACATTCTGGGTCAGGCAGAGGGACTCCATTCAGGGGTGGTCAAGCTGGGCGAGGACAAAGGGGCAATGTTCAGAGTGGCTCGGCTTCGGCACCTCGTGGTCCCTGCGGGCATTGTGGAAAAGCAAACCACACCGAGGATAATTGCTGGAGGAAACAGGGTAAGTGCCTGCGGTGTGGAAGTGCGGACCATCAACTAGCTACTTGTCCGGTCCTAAAACAAGACGGAAAGGGGAGTCAACTACCGCCGAGGACCAATACTGGACCAGCCAAGAGAGACGGATCCAAACCTAAGGTGCCAGCTAGGGTGTATTCCTTAGAGCCCCATCAGGTCCCAGAGTCTTCCGAGGTGGTGGAAGGTACGATCCCTATTTTCCACCGCTTTGCCAAAGTTTTAATTGATCCTGGTGCCACTCATTCGTTTGTTAACCCTGATTTCATGTGTGGCATCGATATAAAACCTGCTAGTTTACCATATGACCTAGAAGTTAGTACACCTACGGGGAATCAACGTTTGGTGACTAGTATGGTTTATAGGGATTGTGATGTATGGGTAGGTGAAAGGAGATTTTTAGGAGACCTGATTAGCTTGTCCATTAAGGGGTACGATGTGATTCTGGGTATGGACTGGCTAGACAAATACAACGCCCAACTGGATTGTAAAACGAAAATAGTAGAATTTCGCATTCCTGGCGAGGCAACCTTAAGGTTGGATGTAAGGGGTAGGTTAGCTTCGTCTGCTCTAATTTCGGGCATTCGAGCTAGGAAACTGATAAGTAGAGGGGCGCAAGGTTTTTTAGCCTTTTTAATTAATACCCCTACGGATAAGTTAAACGTGGAAGATGTGGCCGTAGTGAGAGAATTTCCGGATGTTTTTCCTGATGAGTTAGTAGCTTTACCACCGGAAAGAGAGATAGAATTCCGAATAGATCTTTTACCTGGAACTGCACCTATCTCAAAAACCCCTTACCGAATGGCGCCTGCAGAACTTAAGGAACTTAAGTTGCAATTGCAAGATCTTTTGGAGCGGGGTTTCATTCACGAGAGTGAGTCTCCTTGGGGAGCTCCCGTTCAGTTTGTAAAGAAAAAGGACGGGACCTTGAGAATGTGTATTGACTATAGGGGGCTGAACAACGTTACGATCAAGAATAAATATCCACTGCCCCACATTGATGAGTTGTTCGACCAGCTGCAAAGAGCAGTGGTCTTCTCCAAGTTAGACCTCCGACAAGGATACTACCAGTTGTTGATTAGGAAGGAGGACATTCCGAAAACTGCTTTCAATTCAAGATACGGGCATTACGAGTTCGCCGTTATGCCCTTTGGACTGACCAATGCTCCCGCCGCCTTCATGGACCTAATGCATAGGGTTTTCAAACCCTATCTAGACCGATTTGTCGTGGTGTTCATTGATGACATTTTGGTCTACTCTAAGACACGTGAGGAGCATGAGGAGCATTTGAGAGTGGTATTGCAGACATTGAGGGAACATCAGCTGTACGCCAAGTTTAGTAAATGCGAGTTCTGGTTGGAGAAAGTAGCATTTTTGGGTCATGTGATCTCCCACGAAGGTATTTCGGTGGACCCGGCGAAGGTTGAGGCCGTGACAAATTGGAATAGGCCAGAAACCCCCACGGAAATTCGTAGCTTTTTAGGGCTAGCTGGGTACTACCGACGGTTTATTAAAGATTTTTCCAAACTAGCAGGACCCCTAACTGACTTGACAAAGAAGCACGGCCAGTTTATCTGGAACGGCCGATGCGAAACAAGTTTTCAGGAATTAAAGAAAAGATTGACCATGGCTCCGGTACTGGTCTTGCCAAATGGAGTGGACGGGTTTCCAGTATATGCGGACGCGTCGCGAGAGGGATTGGGATGTGTTTTGATGCAGAACCGGAATGTGATTGCTTTCGCCTCTAGGAAATTGAAGCTTCACGAGCAGAACTACCCGACTCACGATCTGGAATTAGCCGTAGTTGTCTTTGCACTGAAAAAGTGGAGGCATTACCTATATGGGGTGACTTTCGAGGTGTATTCGGATCACAAAAGTCTTAGATACCTCTTTTCCCAGAAGGAACTAAACATGAGGCAACGAAGGTGGATGGAATTTCTGGAAGATTACGACTGTACGATCAATTACCATCCGGGAAAGGCAAATGTGGTAACAGATGCCTTGAGTCGTAAGGTGCAAGTAGCAGGGCTAATGATTAAGGAGTGGGATTTGCTAGAATCCGTGTGCGAGTGGAAACCCTGTCTAGGGAGCCATAAGGTGATATTTGGCAATGTTAGGGTTACCTCCACTCTACTGGAACGTATTAAAGAGGCACAAAAAGAAGATTTGATGGTACAGAAATGGAGAGAGAAAGTGGATAAGGGAGAAACTACGGACTTTAATTTGAGTCCTGAGGGTATTTTAAAATATCGGAACCGAATAGTGGTACCGAAGGTGGAGTCGTTAAAAATGGAGATTCTGGAGGAAGCTCATCGGTCCAAGTATACAATCCATCCGGGCAGCAGCAAGATGTATCAAGACCTAAAAGGAACCTATTGGTGGGACAACATGAAGAATGAAGTCGCTTAGTACGTGCAGAAATGTCTCATTTGCCAGCAAGTGAAGGCAGAGCATCAAAAACCATCGGGTCTGTTACAACCCTTGGAGATACCCGAGTGGAAGTGGGAAAATATCACCATGGACTTCGTTTCAGGTTTACCGAGGACGCAAAGAGGACACGATGCCGTTTGGGTGATCGTTGATCGATTAACCAAGTCGGCCCATTTCTTGCCGGTGAACATGAAGTATTCAATGGACAAGTTGGCTCGACTGTACATGGATGAGGTTGTAAGACTACACGGTGTTCCTGTGAGCATCGTTTCCGATCGGGATCCACGGTTTGTATCACGATTTTGGCAGAAGTTCCAAGAAACCCTGGGGACGAAACTCAATTTGAGCACGACCTATCATCCTCAGACGGATGGCCAGTCAGAACGGACCATTCAAACTCTCGAGGACATGCTACGAACGTGCATTCTGGACTTCGGAGGCAACTGGGGTCAGCACATGACCTTGGTAGAGTTTGCGTACAACAATAGTTTCCATTCGTCGATTCAAATGGCTCCGTACGAAGCTCTCTACGGACGCAAATGCCGCTCACCGATTTACTGGGATGAAGTTGGTGAAAAGAAAGCACTAGACCCGGCAACTATTCCATGGATGGAAGAGGCTCACGAGAAGGTCAAGTTGATACGGCAACGACTTCAAACAGCTCAGAGTCGACAAAAGAGCTACGCAGATAACCGAAGAAAAGATTTGGAATTTGAAGTTGGAGATCATGTATTTCTCAAAATCACACCCTTACGAAGTCTTACAGCGGGTAAAGGAAAGAAGCTTCAACCGCGGTACGTCGGACCCTACAAGATTCTTCAGAGGGTTGGAGCGGTCGCGTATCGATTGGAACTGCCATCCAGTCTCTCTCGAATCCACGATGTATTTCACGTCTTGATGCTAAAGAAGTACCATCCTGACCCATCCCATGTATTGCAACCGGAGGATATCGAAGTAGATGAATCGCTGGCCTACGAAGAGAAACCGGTCCAAGTACTCGATCGAAAAGTCAAAGAGCTCAGAAACAAGCGGATTCCACTAGTAAAAGTGCTATGGAGAAACCACGGAGTAGAGGAAGCTACCTGGGAAGTGGAAGAGGAAATGCGAAAGAAATATCCAAACCTTTTCGGGAATTAAGGTGAGAAATTTCGAGGACGAAATTCTTTTAAGGGGGGGGAGAGTGTGAGAACCCGTAAAACCCTAATTATTTTCCTAGGGTTTATTTTCCCCTTAATTGCATGTTTTCTGCATTTTCTGGCTTAAGAATATTTTCCTGGTGAATTTTATGAGTAATTATAGTTTTTAGATGATTTTTCTAGTATTGGAGAATTTTTAGAAAATTAAGAATATATATTGGACGTGGGACCCACTAGTGCGAAAAATTCG